GAGGACCTGAGCCATCTTGAGAAATGTCATGTTCGCGCTATTCACAGATTAGAACCTAAAGACCTCTCATCAGATAACCTACCGTATCATTAGTATAAGAGAACGTTTAACGGTATGGGAGCTCAAATCCGGCTCCTGCTCGGTAGAGATTTGATTAAAGTAATCATTAAGTCGCCTTTTCATTGCATATACTCATTTCCTACCAATTGAGTAGGACCTTGGGTCCTTTTTCTCACTCATATTCCAATTAGGTCAGCAAAGACTACCTGGAGGAAGAGAACTCGGCGTATCCTCGTGTTTGACTTAACGTCAACCGGTCCAAGTTTTTAGATTTCTTTAGTCTTTGAGTTTAAACCGCCTGCAGTCGCATTATTAACAGTTTTCGAATTCGAAGTAGTAAATATTTTTGTTGTTATTCCAGTTTACTATTTGTCATAGCCAAAGTAATCACCAATTCAGGCTTTCTTTTGTTGGAAGCAGTGTCTTTCAGCTCCAAACATCCACAGTCCACTGAGCTCCATTAATGGGCTGAAACGGGAAAATCTGTGAATTTCAATCAGATTTGTCGGCGATCCCATGTGAAATGACTGAGAGCTTTTCAGAAGCTTTCTTTATTGTCTATGCACCGCCTAATAAATGGCATAATCAAATATCCAGCAGGTCGTTGGGTTCGCTGTTGCCGTTCTCCCTGCACCCGTCCACATCGATCAAAGCGGGACGGCAATTTTCATTTGGCAAAACGTTTTCAGTTCGCGACAGTGCCGCCGCCGCAATAGCCAACGTCGGCTTTCTGCCGCGGGCTGAACAGAAGACGAATGACCCGCCTTCGGCGCCAATGGGAGTCATTGCTCGTTCTCAGTCCGGTCTCTGAGGCTCAATGGTCGTTCTGGTTTTCCATAGTTTATTGTACTGGACAAGTCTGTGGTCATGCAGGCTTGACTAGAGGTCGAGGAGCTCGGAGGAGCATGAAGTTTTTCTCGGGGAACCCGCAATGCCTGCTCAATTTGGTAGGCGATATCAGCTCGAGCCAATGCAAAATCGTTTGGTCCTTCCGGCTCGTTACCCTTTTCTCTGAGCATTTATCGGCTTTCTTTTTTCTCTACCTTCCTTTTGGCAGATATCCATAAGCCGTGCCTCAAGAGGGAGAAAGACTTTCCACACCTGAATTCAGAGCAGTTCGTTGACTGCTCTCCAATTCTCTTTTTCCTCTTTCATTTTCTTTCTTCTCCTTGCTCTTCTTCCCTTCTCGTTCGCTTTCGGGCTTACGCACTTGGACAGAACTAATCCTTAGTGATTTGTGACCCCCATTTTCACACATCCTGCCATTTTTCATTCCANTACAAATATTCGCTCCTTGCACAGAGTTAATCTGCGTCTCTGTCACTGTGATCTGCTCTAGACTCACCCTGTCGTCTGCGCTCTTGCCGGTTCCAAATAGTGTTGATTGACAAATGTTCTTTGGAGCCATTTCTCATGCATGCATACGTGAAAGGAAGCGGGGGTGGGAATAAAGCGGTTTCATTGGGACGTTTCTGATTAATTGCAAATTGCACGATATATTTGAATAGCATCATTTTGAATGCAATTACAGTATCTTTCGCAGATCCTTTGATTCTCTTTCTCGACAGAGTCGTTATGACCCTTAAATATCAGATTTCAAAGAGGCCGAGCGCTTTTTGCCAGAGATTCTCTGGAGCAAGGCGGATTGGTCAGAGAGCATCCCTTTTACTTGGCAGAGCAGATCAGTTGTTCCATTCTTTCGATTACGGTATGGTCCGGACTTACGTTACGGTGCAGTGGTACGGTACTTTAGGTACGGTCCTTTAAGTATGATCATTTTGGCAGATCACAGACCAAAATTATTGTATCTCGGCTGTAACCGAGAGTAGATCGTGATACGGAAGCTCTTTCTCACCCCCTCTCCCTTGATAGGTACCATCGGGTCCGAGTTTGTTGGAGGAAGACAGGGCAGACTGTTGGTGAACTTCCAAATATAGGCCTCAAAGTCATCAGACCTACCGTACACCTTCCCTGCTACCGTAATCTGTCCAGTGACAGGTCTTTTTTTGCCTTCTCACTTTTTGCCCCTGCCATCTGAGGAAACATGCCCGTGCCAGTCTCCCTCTTGACTTTTTTCTATATCCTTCCTTTTTTGTTGTGTTGAGCCTCTTAGGATTCTGTTTCCTTTCCCAGACAGTCATCTGATCCGAAATTGAGTGCACTCTAGTGATTTTTCGGAAATAGCTCTCAACACACAACTCTATTCAGATTTGCATATCAGATTTCTGTACCAGTTGTCCGTATCCGATTCAGACAAGTGCTGCCGTACGTTGAATCTCTGTTCCTATGGGAACAACAGACGTTGGTAATCTGAGATGAGAGCTGCCAGATCCGTTTTTCTTCGCGGCCTTGTTCTGTTCTTATAGTGTAGATGATTAGCCCAGATGTGCGGGTATATAGTGGTGGGTGTGGTCGATGATGAGCTGAGAGGTCCTCTTGGTATGATATGTATGTCCGCACTAATTAGCAACACACGTCTTTATGAACATTGGGGCCAGCACCCGGCCCAATACGACCGAGCCCTCAGAACTTTACGTTCTTCGGGAGCATTCTTTTCGATTAGGCAACAATCGGGAAGGAATTTTGCTGTAAGATCGCTCTGTGAAGTTTCCTGAAGGGCTAGAATTCTTATGGTACTTTGGGAACAACTTGTCTCCCCAGTCGGTTGATACGCCATGCCAGTGTTTCCTACCTTCTCTCTACAGGGTTGATTGGAAGCGTTCCGCAACTCAATAGTCTTTCAGGTTAATAGCTTGTTCTGGACAACTCCTACACCCCGCCTCCAAATCTTGGAAACGTGCCAGTGTCAGGAATATTGGGAGGGTTCGATGCTCTTGAGAGCTAAGTCGAATTCGCGAGGCCATGAACACGATGCTCAAAGTGAATGCGTGAGTGCACGTACCCTTGTCTCCAGCAGCTCGAAGCCTCTTCATAACCTTTTTTTCTATCCACAACTTTTTTTCCCTGGGAAAGAAATACGATAGTGAAGTGGACGGCACTTCTCCCATCCGGGCGATGCACTTCAATCCGCAGAGAGCATTCTTTGCAGTGCGTGGAGTGTTAGCTTAGCGATCAGACGCATGTGAACAAATCCAAACATCTGCTCATTCGTCTACCCACCCAAGAGAAATCCCACCTCCCGTCCGAGCACTGGTGTGCCCTGACGGTCCAACATCTCAGTGACCGTTGCTCAAGTGGCTGACCACTTGAGTGGTAACACATGGCGTAATGGTATGGGATACGACGATAACGAACCACTTGACAATGTTTTCATTCGTTGATTGAAGGGCCTTGGTAATCAACGAACTCCTAGGCCACTACCATTTGGATTTATAGCCACCCTTAGGCTCTGGGACGGGCATGAATAGTGTTTCCTTTCTCCCAGATCGGGTAATTGGTTCCGTAGTCCAGGAATATTACGAACTTGAAACGGGAACTTTTCAGGATGAATCCTTGAAGATAAGTTTCAATGCCTTCTATATTTTTCCATCCAGCCGAAGGGCATCAGCAAGGAACAAAGGGTATGACAGGAGTGGAGCTTGAAGTTGTTCAACCTTAACTATTCCGCTGAAAGGATGAAGCCATGCATTCAACTTCACGATCGCCATTGGGGTGATTTGAATGTTCCCATATCCTGAACAATGGCTTTCAGGAGTAGAGCGCTCCTGCTTGGTAGTTCTTTCCCAGGTGAACATCTTACCATCAAAACGATTTTGAAGGATGGAAAAGGTAGTCGACCTGAGTGTAAGTTATTCAGGACTTGTTCCCGGACCATTCGTGTGTTGGCGGCGCCCCTTGACACTCTTTCAGTGCTTCCGCCGACCTACCATAGCTGTTAGCTCAGTGAGGAGTAGTTTAGGTTTCTGTGCTAGTAGGATGAGCATTCTCATAAACATGCCTGGTTTTTTCGTCCCCCAACCCTGCCTGTTTTCCATCAGCTCTTGTTTACAAGTTTTTTTACCTCGTTTTTCGCGGCTTTTCAGCTTCCTGCGACCGGTTTTCTGTTGTTCTTAGTCGACAGACTTCCAGAAAGCAGCTAGGCCCACATAAGCTGTGATCGGTCGCCTTGTCAAGAGCAGTTGCTCTTGTCTTATTCTTTCAATTGAAACATAGACTCTCGGTGGGAAATCGGTTTATTCACGTCGGCTAAGTTGAAGAGTACGCAAAACCAGTTATGCACGTCGGGTTCACAGGCAGACGTATAACCACAATAGCGTCCTCATCATTGTATACACACTTTCCGCTTCATAGATTTAGTTGTGAAAGTTTTTGCAAAGTTTGGGTACCAATCAATCGATTGCAGTTCTCGTTACTTCGTTTTGTAGCTGACGCCCTTCAGTTGATTTCACTTGTAGGTTGGTACTCCTTTACCACGGAAATCACCTATTTTTACAGCCCTTCTGCCTGATTCAGGAGAAGAGAATGTGGATCCTGAGACAGTTCTAGTATTACTGTAGGAGTTCTCTTTCCACATATTTTGATATGTCGACAGAAAATGTGATTTAACGCGTGGCATATCGCTTTCGTTAGAGACTTGATAAGGGTCTCGATTGGATCGTAGCCTCTTACCTTTTCGACTGTACTGCCTCGTGTAGATCTCTTTATGTAGTTACCTCTACAACTATTGGCCTACGGTAACATTGCAGTGCAAGCTTATTCTGAAGTTCTATTAGATCTACCATTGTAGATCACTTAAT